GGGGGGGGGGGTAAAAAACGTTAGAGAGAGGGGGGAAGATTATTTTATCCTTTTTTCATGGTTTTGATTAATTCTGAAATGATCTTTAATTTAATTACACTAATTGTTAATGGTTTTTTTCTTTACTTCCCTTTGTCGTCCCCATATCCTTATTTACTCCGCTTTAATACTCTTTCAGCTTTTTTCTTTACTTTACTTCACTTTAATACTCATCATTCTCTTCTTTACTCAGCTTTAATACTCTTACTTCTCTTCTTTACTCAACTTTAATACTCATCCTTCATACTTTATAACTCCACTTTAATGCTCGACCTTCTCTTCTTTACTCAGCTTTAATACTCTTCCTTCTCTTCTTAACGCAACTTTAATACTCATCCTTCATACTTTACTCCACTTTAATACTCGGCCTTCTCTTCTGTACTCCGCTTTAATATTCTTCATTCTCTACTTTATTTCACTTTAATACTCATCATTCTCTTCTTTACTCAGATTTCATACTTTTCCTTCTGTACTATACTCCGCTTTATATCTCATCCTTCTCTACTTTACTCAACTTTATTACGCTTCCTTCTCTACTTTAATCCGCTTTAATACTCGACCTTCACTTCTTTTCTCAAATTTATTACTCTTCCTTCTCTACTTTACTTCGATATTCTTCCTTCTCTTCTATACTCCGCTTTCATACTCATCCTTGTCAGTCTTCCTTCTCAACTTCCCTCCACTTTAATACTCGACCTTCAATTCTTTACTTCGCTTTAATACTCTTCCTTCTCTACTTTACTTCGCTTTAATACTCTTCCCTCCATAGTCCCTACTTTACTTCACTTTAATACTCTTCCCTCCCTACTTTACTCCACTTTAGTACTTATCCCTTCCTACTTTACTCCGCTTTATCACTCATCATTCTCTTCTTATTCCGTTTTAGTATTCTACCTTCTCTTCTTTACTCCGCTTTACTAATCATCCTTCTCTACTTTACTCAACTTTAATACTCTTCGTTCTCTACTTTACTCCGCTTTAATACTCGACCTTCTCTTCTTTACTCAGCTATAATACTCTTCCTCTTCTACTTTACTCAGCTTTAATATTCTTCCTTCTCTGCTTTACTCCGCATTAACACTCATCCTTCTCTTTTTTACTCCGCATTAACACTCATCCTTCTCTTTTTTACTCCGCTTTAACACTCATCCTTCTCTTCTTTACTCCGTTTCAATACCCTTCCTTCTCTTCTTTACTCCGCTTTAACACTCATCCTTCTCTTCTTTACTCCGTTTTAATACTCTTCCTTCTCTGCTTTACTCCGCATTAACACTCATCCTTCTCTTTTTTACTCCGCCTCAATACTTCTTCTTTTCTTCTTTACTCCGATTTACTTCTCAACCTTCTCCTTTATGCATAAAATTACAAGCTCTGATAAACCTAAAACTCGTTAATAAATTCTGTGAAAAAAACGGTGAATTTTCAAATGACAGGGATGGAAAAAGGGGCGTTCTAGAATAAGCAAAAGGTCGGATAGGCGTGTCACAAGTTCAAGATTATGCGTTTTGGGATCGCAGAGAGAAGGAGGAGGCCGGGGGGGGGGAGCCTCGACGCTAATTACTAAATTCAGACCAGGTTCACAGAATTTATGCCAAACTTCAAGAGAACATGAAGGGGGGGGGAGACTAAACATATTTAAAGTGATTGTTTACTTGTTTAAAACTAAATCAAACTTATTGTCGAAAAAAGTTTTTGTTGTAAAGGAATTGCACAGTCTGTGCAGCAAATGACAATTTTCTAATACCTATATCTGTACAACCAGATGATGCAAACCGTTGATATTTCAAATTTAGATTATTTGATATAGCAGAAGTCGTAGTTGGGTTGTAAAGATATGGGAATTTGAAAATCATAGTTTGTGGCAAAGACTCAATTCCTTTAGTAAATTTTTTAATATACAATTTTATTTTTCTAGATTGACCAAGATTGTGGTAAATATACGATGGTTATGTAACACAAATTTCAGTAGAAGGGGGTGGTTCATTTAGCGTACTGTTACGTTTGCCTTATATAATCTGTATTTGTAGCTGTACAGCTTGCTCTAGCTGGTCTGGAGTCGGCTAGGTACTTGGTAATGAACCAGAGTATTTAGTGATTTTGATAGAACGTATTAAACATCTTTGTTAAGATAAACTTAGTTGTTTTTTCACAATTTCTAGAAATATGATATTTTTATATTCATAGATTAAATATAGTTGAACAATTCCTTTCAGACTTTATAGGGGAGAGAGGTGGGGTACAAGGAGGGAGGGAACAAACAAGATCTTACAATACCAAACAGATATGTCAAACAAGATCATACAATACCAAACAGATATGTCAAACAAGATCTTACAATACCAAACAGATATGTCAAACAAGATCATACAATACCAAACAGATATGTCAAACAAGATCGTTCAATACCAAACAAGATTGCATATCAACTAAAAAAGAGTATAATCAAAGTATATTTAAACCCAACAAGAATATTTAACAAAACCAGAGTAACAAACAAGCATTACAACCAAACAGTTATGTCCAACAAGATCTTACAATACCAAACAGATATGTCAAACAAGATCATACAATACCAAACAGATATGTCAAACAAGATCATACAATACCAAACAGATATGTCAAACAAATTCTTACAATACCAAACAGATCTGTCCAACAAGATCTTAAAATACCAAACAGATATGTCAAACGAGATATTACTACATACCAAACAGATATGTCAAACAAATTCTTACCATACCAAACAGATATGTCAAACAAGATCGTTCAATACCAAACAAGATTGCATCAACTAAAAAAGAGTATAATCAAAGTGTATTTAAACCCAACAAGAATATTTAACCAGACCAGAGTAATCAAACAAACAAGCATTACAACCAAACAAAAGCATTACAACCAAAAAAGAATATTCCAACCAACAGAGTAACTAATCAAGCAAGAGTTTTCCAACCAAACCAGAGTATTACAACCAAACACGAGCATCTAGGCAAACAAAAATATACTATCCAAACAATATTATTAAAACCAAACAAGAGCTTTCAACCCAAACAAGATTATTAAAACCAAAAAAAAAGTATTACACCAAACAAGTGTATTAAAACCAAACCAGAGTATTCGAACCAAACTAGACTATTAAAACAAGAATATTCCAACTAAACAAGAATATACTAACCAAACAAGAGCATTCAAACTGAATATTCCAACCAAACACGAGTATTAAAACCAAACAAGAATATACCAACCATTCAAGAGTATTACAAGCAAACAAGAGTACTACAACCAAACAAAAGCATTCAAACCAAACAAGAAGATACAATCCAAACAAGAATAATTCAACCAAACAAGAACAATTCAACCAAGGAAGAGTAGTTCAACCAAACAAGAATATAGTAACCAAACAACAGCATTCAAACCAAATTTAAGAGTCCCAACAAGAGTATAGAGTCCAAATAAGAGTAATTCAACCTAACAAGATACCAACCAAAAAAGATTATTCCGAAAAAATATAGCCAATCAGAAGTTATAATTACTAAGAAACTAAGAAAATGAAATGAATTGTGAGAAATTTCCTAAATTGATATGTGATATAACAATTAGGTAGAAAGCTAACACAAATATGTTTTCGACAAAAAATATACAACAGATATAAAAAATAAGAAAAAGTTTGTTATTTTTCTAAAAAAAAAGTAATCGATTAAATACAATTACAAAAATTACTTTTTTTTTGTATTATAAAATTTTCAAATCTAAATTTAAAAAATAGTTTATTAGCATAATACAGTTTTCTTTTTTAGCTTATTTTTAACCAAGGATATTTAAATATTTATGTGTTTTCTCAGAAGATGTTTTTGCTGAGAATTATATTTTACTTTTTGTTTATATCTCCTGTGCATTAATCATGTATAAACTTGGCAGTCAACTTTAAAAATTTTTTTTAGAAAATTTGAATAGATTATATAAACTTGTGTTTTCTTTCTATAATGGGACTGTTCAGGTTTTTGGCAATTGTAGTGGAACCAATCTAATCAAATCTTATTATTTTTCCCTGGATTTTTTGTCGTCTTTCGTGTGAAATACAATGTTGAATTTTATCTTAAGTCTTCCTTCCAAATTTTTTTAAAATTTTATTTGCAGGTGTAACGATAATCAAGGTATAGTGACCATCATTCATCTTCTTTTTTAAAGATATTTTTTAACCTGAGAAAATAAACCTAACATTTTTTCATAATCTTATAATCATAATCATTTCTTATAACAGTAAACAGGTGTTATCTCTTCATCAATTGGCATCTCAAACATTCTCAAAATATCTGAACGATCCCTTACCTTAAAGTTCTCTACAATCTGCTCGAGTTTATTCTTGATCAGAAAATCTGTCATTTCCATAGCCTAAATATAAAAAAAACATTTATATAGCCTAAATAAAAAAAAAACATTTCCATAGCCTAATGTAAAAAATATTTTCATAGCCTAAATATAAAAAACATTTCCATAGCCTAAATATAAAAAAAAAACATTTCCATAGCCTAAATATAAAAAATCATTTTCATAGTCTGAATATAAAAAAAACATTTCCATAGCCTAAATATAAAAAAACATTTCCATAGCCTAATTATAAAAAAACATTTCCATAGCCTAAATATAAAAAAACTTTTTCATAGCCTAAATATAAAAAACGTTTCCATAGCCTAAATATAAAAATACATTTCCATAGCCTAGATTAAAAGTACATTTCCATAGCCTAAATATAAAAATCCATTTCCATAGCCTAAATATAAAAATCCATTTCCATAGCCTAAATATAAAAATCCATTTCCATAGCCTAAATATAAAAATACATTTCCATAGCCTAAATATAAAAATACATTTCCATAGCCTAAATATAAAAAAACACGTTAATGAAATAGAAAATACTGACTGTACCCGTGGAATTATCTAAAAATTGAATTTTAACAAAATTTCGTTTTTTGAAAAAAATGTCAGCCCATTTTGTGCAGCCGCTTGGCCAGCTATAGCTAACATATTTATATTTGTAATACAAATATTCAAAGAATTTAAAGAACATAGACAAATAGAGCTTATAGAGCTTAAAGATGTAAAGCCTAAATCTACATTGCTATCAATTTTGACAAATATTATTTTTTCAACAAAAATAACAATATTTAATTTGTATTATTTCAGGGTTAGGTTAGGTAAATACAATTTTTGAGTGGCGCGCTGCGGCTAGGACAGACTTCAGGATAGAGCGACGCGGCTAGGGAGCCGGGCGCTCCGGTCACATTCCCAACTTTGAATATATGTGTATATATGTGCTTAATATACAAAATTAATTGGAGGGAGGGGATGGGGGGGGGGTCCAAAAAGCATACAACAGGAAATTACCCTTTTTTGTAATCTACGTCAGATTTGTATTGTTGAAATTGTGCAAAAAATATTATTGAAAAATACGAAGAATGTGAAACTTTAGCATAAAAGGTTTATTAAACTTTTGTTATTCAGTTGACTAACTTTAAGTGAAAATTTTACATTTTAAACAAGAATTTATATAGATTTATAAAAATAGATAATCTTTTTATCATATTTAAAAACTATAAATAAAAGGAAATTTTCATACATTTTTTATTATTTTTTATTAAACTGCAAAAATGGCGTTTTTCTGAAGAAAACTATTTTCTTCGAAGAAATAATATATTTTAAAAATGGTTTTCTATGCAAAATACAAAAACAAAAGAGTTTCTAGCTAAAAAGCAAAGATTTAAATATAAAGAAAAGTATTGGATTTTAGAAAGGGGACAAAACTTTGACGCTATAATATGATTTAAAATTCGGTCATGGTGATGGACCAAACCTCTGTACAGTAAAAAAAAGTAGATATTAGTTCCACATTTATTTAAAATATATTTCGGTCTGGGTTGACCCTCGTCAGTTCTATAGATAATAACCATCAAAATCGATAAAAAAATTTTAATTGTTAAAAACCACAAGAAAATAAACAAACAAAAAAGATTTAAAAACAAAAATTTGGCTGTCAACTGGACATAAGGGAAACGAACTCAGATTATGAGATGGAAAAAAGATAATTTGCGAATTTATGTATTTTGTATAGTACACTTTATATAGATACATCTCACCGTACCATATATATACATATATATATATACTAGAAATTCAAGGCTCTTCCCGCCCTTCTTTCTAGCTTTAAAGGGCGCTTCGCGCCCATCTTCTAAATTAATTGTGAGCATGTTCTCTTTGTGTACATCGTAAAACAAAACAAAAATAATTCGCGGATTTTCACAAAAAAATTCGTGGATTTTCAAAATTTTAAAAAATTTAATGACGATCGAATTTTGATGGAGACAAACATTTGAAATTTTGATGATTCATAAACCTTCCCGTGGTCACGTGATGTACCACAAAAAATTTGGGCCCGATCGGTTCAGCCGTTTTGACGTTTATTGGATACAAACAGACAGACAGACAGACAAGCCAAATTTATATATAGATGATATATATATATATTTATATATTATATATATTTATATCTATATACTGTTAATGTAAATGATACCTTTTCCATGAATTTATATTATTTCATTAGCTTTGATCATTATTATTATTGTTCAGGCAACATGATTACCCCAAATCAACGGCATTCGTGTTTTGAGCCCTGATAAATCCTTCATTATAACGACTCAGAAATGTGCTCTATTATTTTACTGTTGCATATCACAACCAACATGTTTCACTTTTATGTTGTAAATATTTAAATATATATTCTTGAAGGAAATGTCAAAGTATGTCAACTTTTTTTAAGGGTTGAAAATCCGATTCACAACAATCTTTGACTTAAATTTCACATTGATCCTCAGTTCAGATTTATAAATTATCTATATATTATTAAACCAAGACATTCGTATATATATATGTTGTCTGTAGCCGGCCAAATGACTAGACCCATTGGGCAGAATTTTTTGTGGACACTCCGTCATGGGTGGCCGGGAGATGTTATGGGCTAAAAAATTAGATTTTTTTCAAAATATTTTTTTAAAATCTTATTTAAAATTTTTTTTCACAGGCAACACCGGGCTCTTCAGCTAGTACTGAATGAGTATATTTACATATTTTACTTAGATAAAATAAGGTTTTGCCACAGACTCTAATTTTCTAATCCCTTTAGCTTTGCAACCTAGTTGATATTTCTATACTTTATTTGATCAACATAATTCATAGTTTGAAATATCTAAGGTCTTTGACATTGAGTTGCAAAGCTAGATATGGGGATTAATCAGAGTTTGCGAGAAAGACTCAACATTTTTATACCTTGGATTCTAGCTGTGCCACTAGTTCTAGAACAAGCCTCTGGGCGTGCTCTTCGTGCTAAATAAATAATAAATAACTAGTTTTTTCCACCTATATGTGAGAATCTTTAACCCAAGCTAAGAACAATAATTTCATGGTTCTACAAAGATCCCCTACCATATTAAAGTCAAATCGGTCCCGGGGTTCATGAGTTATGATTGGATTTCAAACAGACATATTTGAAAAAAAAAAATTCAAAACGTTTGTAATTTTTGACAAAGTTTGAACACTTTGAACCTAAAAAAATTAATGAAATTCCCGAAGAAAATGCTGTTTAAAATAAAAGAAGGGTTTGGAGCAAGGAAATAGAAGGAAGATACAACTGACGCAGCCCGCCCTACCATATGATTATACAGGGTGTCCCACATCATATTAGATCGTCAATGGGTCTAACTTACAATTTTTCGGGACTAATCAGAAAATTTAAGAAGAATGAATTATTTGAAAAATTGATTAAGGCTAATATAAGAATATTCTTGCGGAAAATGCTAGATTTTTCGAGTATTATGATCTTATTTTGGCGTTAAAGCTTGGAGATAATCTAATATGATATGGGACGCTCTGTACATGCTTTGTAGTTGTAGACGGTACTTCATTTGAATAAGAAATATTTGTCTGAAATTACCGCGTATACAATATCTCGCCTTCTATTTCATACTCCTTGGTTTGGAGTAAGGGAAGCATACATGTGTAATAGTGTGAAGACAAAGAAGATAAGAAATTCAATATAATAATAAAAACTAAATAATTGATTCTAGCATTGATTTATTTACAAATTTCTTTCTAGAAATATGTTCCCAACCATCTAATTAGATTACTGTGTGATTTTTACTTTATTTTTCGTCGTCGTTATCCAGTAATTAAAAAAAAACCGATTCTGAAATCGTATCCACCCCCAAAGTATAAGTTTTGAACGTCGAATTTGCGCTCAAACTCGGAATTTACAGATCTTTAAAAAGTTTAATATGTCTCAAATGAATCCGAAAGAAGTTTTCCACAACACTGCATACTCAGTTTAACTACCTTACATAGCCGGTCACTCTCTTTAAATGTAAAAGTACTCCTTTGAATACATTCATTTAAAATCTCATTAAACAAAGTTCTAATGGAGATAATCTTTAGTAGTAAACTTCCAGCAACAAGTATCTAGTAAAAAAAGTTGTAGTTCAAATAATCTTCTAGAATCATGTTATGATGGGAATTGATCTTCAGAAATCAAGTTTTTGTGCAAATTTATCTTAAAAATAAAGATTTTCTTCATTTCATGTAAAATGTACGAGCGATTTTCTAAAATAAAGCGCTTTTAAGTTTAAGATATGTTTCAGGGATTTGTCTAATGGTAAAAACTTAAAATATTTATGATCTAATAATATTTTAGAGAACTTTTTCAGAATCTCTAAACCTCGTCAGTCGTCAGGTATAAACATATAAACAAATATATTTCAATTCAAAACTTTTAAAAACTGTGTAGGTTATCATAATATAAATATTATTAATTTCGCCACAAACTTTTTGGTAATGTTTTGATTAGTGAATTAAGTATTTATCAGTTCAAAATACGGAAATAGAGTCACACAAAGGTTACTTCCGTGAAAAAAGAAAAAAATATTAAAACATTCGTATTTTAGATGTTATCCTATAACCATTAAATGATCATGAAAACTAGAAAGTTTTAAATGAGACAATTAAATTCTATTTACTTTTAGAGTTTTTTTTTCATATTTATGTTTGTCAAATTGAACACAGTGTTTTGAGAGATGCTAGTTTTCAGAACTTTTACACTTGAAATGTTTATCACAAATACTTTACAGATTTGCATAATTTAAACTTGTTTCAACATTCATTTCTATATTTTGTATTTTACTCACAGATAACAAATGCTTTTATTTAAAAAGGAAAAAATTGGATTTTAATAATTTTTTGTCTTTTAGTTAACCCTGTATTCATATTTCTCTCACCCTATTTTACACTGTGGCTAGGATGGTTCTAAAGATGAGCACTGTGGTTAGGATGGTTCTAAAGATGTGCACTGTGGCTAGGATGGTTCTAAAGATGATCGCTGTGGTTAGGATGTTTCTAAAGATATGTGCTGCAGCTAGGATGGTTCTAAAGACGTGCACAGTGGCTAGGATGGTTCTACAGATGAGCACTGTGGCTAGGATGGTTCTAAAGATGTGCAATGTGGCTAGTATGGTTTTTATAGATGTGAGCTGTGGCTAGGATGGTTCTAAAGATATGCGCTGTGGCTAGGATGGTTCTAAAGATGAGCGCTGTGGTTAGGATGGTTCTACAGATGTGCGCTGTAGCTATGATGGTTCTAGAGATGTGCGCTATGGCTAGGATGGTTCATAACAAGAGCGCTGTGGCTGGAAAGGTTCTAAAGGTGCAAGCATAGTGGCTAAAATTTACCGTAAATATTCTGAATCTGTCTGAACGCATCCTCTTGGAGCTGTTGAGTTTTAGCCCACAGGACACTGGTCATGGAGCCGTCAGGAGACCCTAAATATAACAATAAAATAATTAGTGTTTACAATATTGAAAATTGTTCGGCTTTAGGCACTAAAAAATGTAATCTTTGCTGGGAAACCTAAACTATAATCGAATTTAAAAATACATAAAACTCTGTACACTGTTCATAAGGACTGATAAGTTGTATTTTATATTAGCAAAAGTGCCCAGCGTTGCCAGTGGATTTTTTAAAAATCAATTTTTAAAGAAAAAAACGATTTTTGAAAGAAAATATTTGTTTAGCTATAGCTAACATATATTTATACAAATATATATGAGCGAAGGACTTATTTATATACAGGGTGATCCACGAAACATGACAATTGGTAAATAATTTTGAATGTCTTCTTCCCTATACTGTAATAGATATTAAAAACCTTTTGTATTTGTTTTCGTTCAATAAAATCGTTAACTACCATATATTTTACTATAATATGACTACCATTAAATATTCTTAAATTCTCTTTGGTATTAAACAACTTAAGTAATAAGTTATTTTAAAATATTCAACAACTGTCTTGTTACGTGGGACACCCTGTAGATGATATAGGAACACCTCAAATACAAGAAACAGTAATTAACGGAAAACCTAAAATATCAAATAAAAAACTTTTAGAAAATCCTAAAATTAATATAAGAATATTTAAACCTAAGGGTACCCTAAAATTAATGTAAGAATAATTGAACCTAAGAATAAGCCTAAGGAAACCCTAAAATTAATGTAAGAATAATTAAACCTAAGAAAATCCTAAAATTAATGTAATAAGAATAAGCCTAAGGAAACCCTAAAATTAATGTAAGAATAATTAAACCTATTGAAACCCTAAAATTAATATAAGTATAATTAAACCATAAGGAAACCCTATAATATAAGCATACAAAGTCCTATTAAAACCAAGTATAAAAATAAAGTATTAGAATAAATAAGGGTCCGGATAAATGTGAGAATAAATGAATAAATTAGCGCCAGAAGACTTTAAAATATATGCAGCTGGATGGTTATTGGTTATTTAATAGCATCAAAATCTCAAAATAATTTTTCTTACAAATTATAGAAAAAATGTAGTCCTTGCCATAAATTAAAACCTAATAATCTTTATATTTTTGCAACATGTTGGTGTAAACCTTTGATTTTCCAAGCTTAGACTAACAGAATTCGCATACATTTGGTTAAATATCAATGTTCTATCACTTCGGGTTGCAAAGATATTGAGATTAACGTATATCTGAGTTTGTGACTATATACCTTTAAAGAGTTCTGCATTCTGATGTCATTGATCTTTAACTTTTCAAAATATGAATTCTGTTAGATAATAAAATTTAAGTTTGAAATATCAAAGTTTTACATCATCAAGATGCAAATATATAAAGATTATTAATGTATAGTTTCTGGCAGTTTCTATGCAAAAAATAAGAAATAGAATCGGCAGATTTAAAATAAAAATATAATCTATTGAACCTTCAGGGTCTCAAGTTCTTACTATCATAAGCCAATATTTCATGCTTTTTTATATACTTAGTTTGTAAACTTCATGAATGAGTTTTCCTTCTTTACGTTTTTAAAAAAGAAAAACTCAATTTCTTGTTTAAAATGTAGAACATGTGTTGAACTAATGCACTGTGTTTATGTTAATCAGAAACGGTTAAAAATGCAATTTTCAGAACTATGTTGTTTCTTTTTTTTCTTGACTGAACTCAATTATAAAATTGTGTAATAATAAAAGTGTAACATCCTTTTTATCCTGAGAAATATTGCCATTTCTTGTAAACGATAAGTTCTCACACACTTTACCTCGCACATGCAATTCTTGATAAAATGTCGTATTTTTCCCCGTTTTTATAGTTTCAAAACTTTCTTATACAACTTTTCCATATCATCCTTTTCCTTTCCCTTCTCATCTTTTCTTGTCATACTTTTCTCTTTTGCCACCCTTTCCTACCCTTTAACCTTTCCTATCCTTTCCTACCTCTACCTACCCTTTCCTACCCTTTCCTACCCTTTCCTACCCTTTCCTACCTTTCCCTACCCTTTCCTACCCTTTCCTACCCTTTCCTATCCTTTCCTACCCTTTCCTACCCTTTCCTACCCTTAAAACCATTTATAGAATAACGATGTCTATTTTTGTTGAAAATCCCGATAAATTAAAAAAATAAAACTCGAAATTGGCAACACAAGATGGTTCAAATTAAATAGACGCTGACTTGTGCATTTTTATATTATTTTGCAAAAAAGTCTGCAAAAAGAGCATGTAAAGGTCTAGAATTGGAGTTTTTACTATGGTCATAAGTCGGGGATTTATAGCACCCCCCGTACCGCAGGGCAGGGTCCGGGGATGATTCAGCAAATTTACACTGTAAAAACCTGCATCTAAATTTTATATGGTTTTAACCAAAATTCCTTGCAGAACGCTAACCTATTGTCAAATATCTTTATTTAATGAAATCTAAACCAAAATTGTGTCCTCTTAAGATGGAAAGCTTTTATCAAAGTTAAGAGAAAATTTGGAAATTATATTATTGGATATCATACATATACTTCTTAAGATCTTGCGATGGGAAAATTAAAGCTATCACCGTTTGAATTTGTAAGTTTACCAATAA